TCAGTGGAACCACTGGATTTATTTATGCAGTCTAGTTCAAGATGTGATTCTTCCATATGTGGGATCTCTTTTCCTTTTTGTATATTATTTGGATGTATCCAAAGAGATCAGAAATCCTAATTTCAGGTTATTGTGCTTGGCCAACTTCTATGCTGGTGCACAAAGTCCATCTGATAAAAAAAACCTTGAAAGGCTTCAGCAAAAGAGAACTAAAGATCCACTTGACTGGGTCAGTGTCAGGGCTGTCTCTAAGTTAGAGAGAAGGGATATTTGAGTAAGTTGCCCCTCCACCCTGCACTCCTGAAGCACTGTGTATAATAATGACTGACAACCTTGTGGTTCACTGATTAAGTAAAGCTCTACTAAAATTCATGATAATTTTGAGCACTGGAATCTGGTCCTGAAATGTACATCTTGTTGCATCCAGGGGTAATTTTGTTATCAGTGCCTTCATCTTAATAAGGGAGAAACAAAAAGTAAAATGTCAGGAAGCAAAAGAGAAAATTAAAATGACTCATTTAAGCTTAGGAAGCTTCTGGGCAGGAGCAGAAGGACCAATGGGAGAAAAATTGCTGGGAAAAAAAGGAACAGAAAGGGGGATGATGAAATCCAGGGATACAGGGAGGGAAAAGAGAGAAGTGAGAAGAGTAGAAATGGGGAAGTGGCAAAATAAAAGGAGAAGCTGCTGTTTTAAGGAAATGGGAAAGGTGTCTATTACTGAAACAAAACAAAAGAGAAGACAGAATGGGATTTTAAATGGAGAGAATAAATGAATCGATTTAGAAGGATTGTGATGGGAAAAGGCAGTAAGGAAAGAAAAGTAAGCTGAGGAGAGAAAAGCAAGGAACAAATTAATTTAATCTTCAATGTTAGAGAATAAAAGAAGTTAAAATAGTGCACTTATGTTTCTCCCCAAGTCATATACTCATCTTCTTGAGTGATATTAAATGTAGGACAGTAGCAGGGTTTGCCATACAGCCTCTGTGAGAGTCTGTCCTCTAACCTGTTTTATTTTTTTTTAAACTCCCTTCCATTTTTGAACCTTTTAACCCCACAGAGATCTAACACTTCCAGAGTGAATTTTATCCTCACTACTGTAGGTCTGGTTTTTTTTATTCACTTTTTGGCGAAACATTTGGAAGTAGCCCACAGATGTCAAGGGGTCCCTATACAGCAGCTGGAAAACCCTCTTCTGGGTGGAGATGGCTGATGCTACTTCTACTGCAGATTGCTCCCATAATTCAAGAAGTAGCAACCTACACCTTAGAAAACCCAGTCCCAGGTTTCAACTTTGGTGTTCGTCCAGTAAGATGGGAAAATGATCTCAAAATTAGTATATATGTTTTGGGGAACAGGAGAGTCTTGCCACGTAGATTCAGATCAGAATGTACCACATAGCAAAATTTATAATGAAGGTTAAGTCCCATTGTAGAGATAGAGAATGATTTTTTTAAGCAGAGTCAGAAAACCTGATTCTGGGCTAATTTTACCACATGATAACTCTGAATTCTGGCAACCTCTTTCTCTTATATGTGCTGTGCAGGGAAAAATTTGACCTGTTAGGGTTACAGTAATTTCAAAACTTAACACAATTAAAACCACAAAACACACATAGAGACAGGTTTTACTCAGGTTATCAATACAAATTTCATTTATTTGTGTCTCGTTATATTTTCACCAGACCAAATAGGTTTAATGGAACTGTATGACCATAAACCAACATAGGATCTGGATGGGATGTGGGAGTTTTAACTGTGTTGCTCTGACTGGCATCCTGCAGTGGCATAGATGTTAAGACAGGAGAAAGCTACTGCTGTAAGGATGGGAGTCTGTTCCTCTGTATAACAATGTCTATAGCTCTGTTTAACAAGCAGATTGCCATATTTTAGTTTTAATCAAATATCTACAGTGTATGAAGTAGTGTCAATAGATGTGGAGGCAGAATTTGGCCAGAAAAAGTGAAGGAAAGAATTGTTCCCTCTACACTGGAGTCTCCTGGAGGGCTGCAAGAAACACACCATGAGGTGGTATTCAGCCTAATTTCTCTGCAGAGGGAGAAGAACCCAATGCATGTCAGTCTGAGTGATGACATGCTGTACCTGGCTTAAGGGAAAACAAGTTAGGCACGTGAATGTTACCTCTGTTAAAACAGTGCTGTTTCAGAGGAGCTGTCCCCTACAATTTGCGATGAAAGAGAGAAATGAATTGGAAAAGGACTGATAAATGTTCAGTGGGAGGTAAATGAAAGATATTTTATGAGATGGAAAAACTAAACTGACAAGAACATCAGAGCATCTGGTGGCTGTACTAGGTTTTACTTCAACTTCCTGATAGCCTTAATTATTAATTTTTTTTTTTTTTTTTTTTTTTAACTGGAGTGTGATCCTTTGTCTTTACTGGGATCAATTTAGCTTTAGTTTTAAAAGGGAGCAGAATAAAACCTGTATGACACAGTGGAACTGGGTTTATTTTTCATTGTGGTTTCATTTTCTTTTTTCACTGAAGAGTTTCAAGCCAGGACATGTTTCAGTGGCCTAATCTCAAATGCGCACAGGAACAGTTTCTGTGTTTGCTTTGCAGGGAGGAGCTGGTTCACTTCAAGAGAAGTTCAAGAATGAACACAACTGGTTTGCTGTCAGTTTTTAGTACTGGCTGCAGCTCATGGGCAATAATGGTACCAGCAGTGGCGAAGCAGCATTGTATAGCAAACAAGTAGACGTCAGTGACCCTCAACAACAGGATAACACCACTTGGATTGCCAAGGTACTTCTACCCACAGTGAAGGAGGGAACTGCTTTTTTTCCCTCCTTCATTATTCTGCAACATCGCTCTGCTTATCTGGAAATACTCTAAATAAATACCCACTTCTGACACAGCTAGCTAAATAAGGACAGACAGTTGCTAAATCTCTGTCATAATTACAGCAGGCACCTGTTCATGGCCACTAAAACCGATGTTGCTAACACGTTTCCATAATAACTTCATGCTCAAAATTTTCCAGCCAACTATCTTTTGGGAAGAAATTTTCCACATTTGGCCTCTGCTTGAGAGGAAATATTTTTTTTCTTCAAGGCTTGAGAAAAATGATGCCAGTTGTTCTTGAGCACAGCATGAATTATAAAGTTATGCCTCTGAAGTAAAAAGAACTTCCCAGGCTGCACCAAGCTGAAATATAAAGCTTGCTCTAGACCCTTCTGAAGAGCAAATTTTTTGCCTAGTGTTATACTAGATGTTGATTTGCCTAGATTAATAAAGATAAGGTAATAAATATGTTTTGAAATAGCTGAGAACGATTTATCTATCGGTGAGTGGAAAAGAAAAGCTTGCAGCTCGTACGGGCTGTAAATGGAGAGCTGCCAGGTAGGTCAGAGGAGTTCATTCCTGACCTCACAAAGTGCATTTCATTGTTTGAGGAGAACAGGGTGAGACTGCACCTTCCACAGGAGGGAAACCAACGTCACTACTCCAGATTCCTTCCCCTCTCCACCAGATTATTTTTCTTTCAAAAACAGGCAATTAAACGTAAAATAGGAGTGTTAAATTTGCAAAGTTGAGTGTGCTGGCACTGGGGCATTTAAAAAGCTAAGTTTACTACTTCTGTCTGTGTGGCAAATATGTGCATCTATATATATATATAGATATATATCCAGGCAATAACATGGATATAGAGAGGAGATACAGAGAGACTTTCAAACTAGTATTAGAACACCATATCCTTGACAAAATGTTCAAAGTAATCAAAATGTCCAAGAATATACCACTTGAATCATATTGCCTATTATGAAAACTCATACATTGAACCTTATAAAATTTAATAACAGGTTGGAACACTTAATTGGGATATACATTTTATATATGAAGGTATATATTTTATATTGGTTTAGTCAGAATATCCTCAAGTATGGAATACCCTGGTCTTTCCATACCAAGTACAGAGGCTTGACAACTGTCTTAATAATAAGTTTGTATATATTATTTATGGAATATTATTTACTGGATAACACTGTGTATCTGTCTTTTCAAGCTTTTTGTGTCTCTCCTGGATAAATGTGGGGTTTTTGACACATTTTCTAGCACTTTGAGGGCTGTTAGAAGGCAATTTCTGGCTTTTAACAAACCAGGGGAAAAAAAAAAAAAAAAGAACTTAACAAAATCCCCTTCACCACAGCCACAACCATATTTCCTTCTCTTCTATAGCAACTCCCTGTTTTTTCATGAAATCATAAGGAAACAGTATGCTACTATGTTTTAAGAAAAGTTTTATAAAAATCCCCCAACAAAAAAAACCAAAGCCCCCAAACCGTATTATTTTTTGCTTTCTATAATTTCATTAAACGGGTCTTTCCTTCTCACGGTAAAAACCGAAACCTTCTTATTCATAGGAAATGAACTTCTAGCTGTCATGTCAAGTAGCACGGAGTGCGGGGCGAGGGAGGATGGTAAGAACGGAGGGAGTGTTAAAGAGTTTTTTCCTGTAGAATACGATCACATTTTGCAGTTCTTTCGAAAACTACACAGTCACCCCTTCTTTCTTCTTTTCCTTTTCCTTCTTTTTTTTTTTTTCTTTTTGTCCTGACAGGGACTTTGATTTATTCTCAGAGGCAAAACAGCCTAGAGAGAGAAACTCCCAGAGCGATAATTAAAAAAAAAAAAAAAAAAAAAAAAAAAAAAAAAAAGAAAGAAAGAAAGAAAAATAAATAAAACCAGAAAATAAAAGGTGGGGAGGAGGCGTGGAGGAGGGAAAGAGAACGGGGTCTGTCCGGGTGCCGATGGTCTCCCTGGGAGAGCCGCGATGCCGCCCGGCACGGCTCAGCGCGGCGGTCCCGCTCCGTGCCGTGCCGAGCCGTGCCGGCGGGGAAGCCTTGCATCACCGCCACGGGCTCCGCTTCCCTCCTCCCTCTCTTTCGGAGAGGCTATTAATAGCATGACATCAGCCAGGGACTCGCCGCCAGAGTAAATACCAGCGCTGCCCGCTCGGCTATATAAGGGGGGTGATGCAACCGAGGCGAGCGGCAGAGGAGCGGGGAGCGGAGCGAGCGGCTCTCCCGGAGGAGGCGGCGGAGGAGCGGGGACAGCCGCCGGGACGGCAGCGCGGCGGGGCCGGAGCGGAGCCCCTTCCCTCCGGCCGGGAAAGCGGCAGCAGCGGTAGGAAGGTAGGTGGAAGAGCGACGGGAGCCGCCGAGACTCGCAGTGCCGGCGGGACGAGGGGTTGAGCTCCGTGCGAGCTTGTCCCGCCGAGCAGAGATGCCCGCCGGGGAGTCCGTGGGCCGCCGCCGGGAGAAGTTTCGCCGCCCCGGGCGAAGTCGGGCTCGGTGGTGCCGCCGCCGGCCGAGATCCCGGGGAAAGCCCTTGGACTCGCCGAACCTCCGCCGGAGCCCCTCACCCGCCCACCGGTGGCGGCTGGCTCCCGGCGCCCACACGGGGGGAACCCCCTGCCCGGGCTGCCGCCAGATGTGAGCGCCGGGAGGAGCCCGCCGAGCCCCGGCTCATCCCGGGCCGGCAGCGCCCCTCGGCACCGCGCGGTGGCGGCCTCGGCGGAGGGACGGCGCGGGCCCCGGGACCGGGATCGGGACCGGGACCGCCGGGATGCCGGAGCGCGGCGGGCGCGGCAGCCGCCGGCGGCACCGCGGGGACCGCGGGCACCGGGACTGGGGAGCTGCCCCGGGACGGCCCAGGCGATGAGAAACCCACGCACTGCCGCGCATAGGTTTATCTGTGATATTCACACAAACCGAGGGGGAACTCCCTCTGCGAGCTGGGCACATTCACTTTCCTTTCTGTCCCGGTCGTGACACGGAGTAGATGAGTTGCTAAATTGTTGCCTAACCAAATCAGGCGTGACACAACAGCAAACTTGTTTCAGAGAACGGGTTTCCCTTGGAAATCAGTTTTCCTCCTAACAACAGCGTTTGAGGAGCTGGAAGGCAGCAGAAAATGGTTCGGGAGTGATGTGGGATGTCAGAAAGCTTAAGGTCAACTGGCGTGCACAGAGGTTGTGAACTGTAATTGCTCTTAATGCTGTTTAAGATTAACCTCAGTGGTTATCAGGGTTTATTGCATCAGCACCAGAGGAAAAGGAATTCATATGAAGAAATAAAACCAAGAGGCACAGCCAACCATCTGCAGTTAAGAAAAAAAAAAAAAAAAAAAAAGACTGAAAGTAGTAGTCACTTTTATTAATAATATTAAACAAGAATACCCTTAAACAGTAGAAATGCACAGCTAGGAAGTATGTCTCAATTTAAAAATATTGGCAGATGAGATGCAAAAGCTCACTGTAGATGGAAAGATTCATCAGCAGAAGAACAAATAAAAAGCAGAGGGAGAATGAATGAATGAAGTTGCCTGAATCTACCTGAACTAGGAGGGTACCATGCATAGAAAAACTGTTCTCTTTGGAGAACTCCAAAACTGAGGATAAAGTAATGAAACATTAACTCACCCTGGGAACAAGTTGTACTCTTACAGTGCAGGTCTGTGAAATGTTCAGCACCTTCATTGTCAGTAACTTCAGGAGTATTGAAAGCAGCCTGGAGCACAGGTCCATGTGCATGGTCTAACAAAGTAAACAGAGATTATATCAGAAAGGACATGAGGTAATCATACTATAAGACTCGATATTCTTATTCCTACTGTTTCCCCAGCCCTTACAAACCCAGAGAAAACGAGTTAGTGCTCTTGATGGCTTATAGATTTGTACTAAAATTGGGAAAAGGAACTGCAACTTGTTGCATCCTTTACAATAGTAAAATCCAATTTTTCTTAGAAACAGATTTGTTTCTCAGAATCTGGAAAACATCTACCTTGTTGCTATGAAAAGGGAATATATTCAGTTTACTGAAGAGTTTTGAAAGAAGGCTGGCTAGTTCTGTTATTTGTATCGTGGTGGCTCCTAACAATCCCAGTGGTATACTGGCAGCCTACCCTACCAAGTCCTGCCCCAAGGAAGAGCCCCAGGAAAGCAAACCAGTAGCAAACAGCTCTGCAAAATGGGACTCAGCTCACAGCAGAAATCCTTTCACAAGCCTCAGCCCCCCTGGTAGGCCTTCCCTTCCCTAAACTCTGAGCAATTAGAGGTGCCTTTCAAGATGTTTGGGAGGCCAGTGAGCTGTTTGGGCAGGAGGGTAGCAAGTTTCTACGGTCAAGGACATTTTCTCCTGCTCTGGGCACCCTACCACTCCTCTTTTTTACACTGGTAACAGATGGACAAGAGGGCCTGAAGCCATTATAGCAGCATTTTGTTGGTGCTTATGGTACACTTACCACTAACTAGTAGAAATCCACAATTAACACAATTTCTCAAGCACAAACATTCTTGCTTTCCTCTGGTGCCGCTGCTGACCTTAATTAAAAGTTCACCTAAACTGTAACATAATTGAATAAACCACCAGAGCTCAAAAATTATTCACCCAACTAATTATTTTGTAGGCTGGAGAAACAGTTTTGCTGTTAATTTAAGACTCCAGGTTGGATTGAATTATACAGAATTAACTTTGTTGAATGAAGCCATCACCAGCATCCAAGGAGACAGATTCAGTGAAAATAGCTGAAAGTCCTTCTAGCAGTGAGGGGTTCAGTGTCATCCAGAATTAGCCTGTTTAAATTAGTTGAATGTTGGTAAATGGTAAGTAATAGTGGGAGGACTTCAGCTTGAAATTATAGGGCCATTTCTGACTTGTTGGAAAAGCGCAACTGGTAGCCTTCTGAGATTATAGGATTAAACTGTATCACTACTTTAAATGTGACTCATGAGCAGGGGCTTTCTGAAGAGAATTACATAAATTTCCCAAGGCCTTTCTGAATAACAAATTTTTCCAGATAATTTCCCCATCTTTAACAACTATGGGTGAAATCCTGGCTCCATTGAGGTCAATAGGAAAAGTCCTCTTGATTGCAGTAGAGGCAAGATTTCACCCCCAGACTCTAGGAAATGTTCAGCTCTTCTGTGGTGACTGGGTGAAGAAGAATTGAGGAAGACTACAGCTGGACATGGCATTTTCTACTAACTGGCAATTCACTGTCCTCAGATTTTTGTATTTACCTCACTTAGCGATGAACCAGAATTCTATTCTCATTTGCACCAGTGTGGATTTACAGTGTATTTTTAGATATCTCTGAGCAAAATCTATCTTCTTGTCAAGGCACATGACTCCAAACATTTCTTGGTGTGTTGCTGAAGTAACGTACAGGGAACTGGGCAATTCTGGGTTGACCATGTGGAAATTTAGCTTACCACAGTGCTACCCCAAGGCAACTATTTGCTTACCTGCACTAAGTTAATTATAATTGACTTTGCTGTAATTATTATAGTTCTAAACCAGAATAGGTAACACATACTGTAATTATCCATACAACTATTAGAAACAAAAAAACCAAACCCCAACGAAAACCTACACACCAAAGAATGCTGGAAAACTGACGTAGTAAAATCCAATTTAACACAAGTTGCTTTATGAACAAGAGAAGTATTGCAATCTGTTTTCCTATGGATTTGCAGTTTTGTCCGTTGAACCACCCACAAAAGGTGCTCAGTTTTCTTCCAGATCTCTTATCTCACTTCTACTGGGTGAGAGATGGATTGTGACATGCAGAGATGTGTGCATCAGCTAGCCCACTGTGCTTGAATGACTGACTGCTGAGTTTTGCCTTTCTCCCTCAGTGGGGTCACCAATTTTCACAAAGCACGTAGGGGACCTTTCTCCCTCCAAAGCTGGCTAAAAATTAAGAATGACTAAAGAGAGAAAAGTAGAGAGCACTGTTGGGTAAGTTTGCTTCTTAGGAAATGTACTAGAATTGAGGTTTCTTCATGGGTTTACATTTACATAATTCCCCTGAAGTCTATTCAATCACATTGTTTTATATCAGCAAAAATCCGGCCATAAATATATAAGAATTTCAAGCCTCCCATAGAGGGCACATGAGGACAGTTTCGAATTTTACAAGAGCAAAGGAATGAAACAAACGGCTTCACATTTTTATTGAGTCAATCCCTCCAACTCAGTCTGTGCTTTGGAGTTACAGAGCATGTATAGACTTTTACTTCTGTGCCAGCTCTTATCATTAACCGTTTTTCAGGAGTTTAGAGCCAGATATACAACCTCATGTAAGAATAAGTGTGGTAATTTTGTGACAGATCCTGTCATGATTAGCAAACTTCAGCTCCTAGTAGAACTTGTTGAGCTTTACCTAAATGTAGCCAAGATCAAGGTATGCTCTGTCCTTGAAGTTGGAATTTGTGGTGTTATAGCTCTGAGGATGAAGATATTCTTACTTTCTGTCTGTACTTTAAACAACAATACTACTTATTTGCTTTCTGATTTTTATTCTTATTCTCTTTCTCTTCCTATTCACTTGATTATCATTTCCCATGCATTACCAATTTAAAATTAACAGTATATATACTTACACAGTTTTTTTTAACATTAAGTTTCAGAAAGACCTAGATATTGTGTCATGTGGTGGTGCCGTTCTTACTTTTAAATACTAACTTTGAGTTAACTAAAAGTTGAAGTTTTTATTAGTGACCAAATACTTAACTGCTTGCCTCTAGTAAGAGATTGGGGTACATGGGAAAGGGGAACTGAAGCAACGTAAGAACTACAATATTATTCACAGTATGAAATATACCTCTAAGAGATATTATTTGCCTTTCTAAGTTGTTGAAAGACTATTATTATTATCTCTTTTTATCTTCCAGCAAAATGATGGTCCAACACTCAGGCCAGGTATCTGCATTAGAAGTCAGCGCCTCCGCAATTGTTCCCACTTTGTCCCCTGCAGGGTCACTGGGGTTTGATGATTTCACAAATTTAACCCCACTGGTGAAAGAGGAACTGAGGTTTGCCATTCAGAACAAGCGTCAGTTCCACAGGATGTCTTCTACATTGGACACGGTGACAGTTTCTGAAAGGCCGGTTGAAACAGCAATGATGAAAACGGAGGTATGGTTCTTTAAATAGAATTTCAATGAGAATGATTAATTCTCCAGTAAAGTTTCACCACAAGACCAGTGATTATGTCAACTATAGACAACCCTCTCTACTAAACTTGACTCTTTCAAGCATGCTGCTTGCCTTTCTGTTAAATGCTTTGGGGAAAACCTCTGGTATTTCTCATAGCTGGATATTTTATTTTTTATTAGCATCTAAGGACAATGTTTTACAATGATTAGAACAATACAATATATCTGGTTTCCCTGCCTGTTTGTGGCTAAACTTGGAATAAGTCACTGTTGAAGTCCCATTTCACTAAAGACAGTCCAGCAGGACCCATGCAGACTAGACTAAGTGGGACTAGCTGTGCTATATCCACCCTAGGTTTTTACTTAAGATAATACTCTCAGTGAAAAACATTTCTCTTTTAAAGTGGAGAAATAATTTAAGTTAGTTAAACAGCTACACCTTGGTCTGAGCCTCCACAGAAAACAAAACAAAACTTGAAGAAGTATGTTAGTATCCCCCTCTTCGTGCTGCCTTTAGTTTCACTCACTCTCGCTGCCTCGTTCATGACACATCCCCCACTCTACTCCCCATGCTCCTTGCTCCTTTTCCTCTCCTGGAGGTGTGGGAGTCAGTCTGGGGAGACATTCAATGAGCTTTTTGAGTACTGTTGATTTAAAATGAGCTATCACGTGGATTACATACATCCAGCCTCCAGTCAGGTTTTAACTGACAATTCTGATGAGGTTACTACCTTTATACTGTATGTTAAACAAGGTCACAATCACATTTTTGTGTAACTTCTTATGTGAACACTGACAAGTCTATCCATGTTAATTTTAAAAATGTAGAAGTTATCGAAATAGAGGTTTCATATTTACAACATCTGATGGATTGTGTGCATCCATTTTTGTTGGACAGTTTTCTCCTGAAGAGGATGAAAGAAAGAAGAGAAGAAGGGAAAGGAACAAAATTGCTGCGGCAAAGTGCCGAAATAAAAAGAAGGAAAAAACAGAATGTTTGCAAAAAGTAAGTGACTGGCTAGAATTTTTCTTAGTCTGTCATCCTGCCAGGATCCAAACAGATAGCACGGAGTACCATCATAGTAAGAAATACAGAAAGGTGTTACCCAACAGTCTTCAAACTCTTCAAAACATTAGTTATATATAAAAAAAAAAATGTCCTAGAACTCCAGTTGTGTCTTCACCTCCTGTGTAGTGATATACAACTTTATTACAGAAGCATCAGATCTGTACCTGGGTATGTAGGCCTCTATATTCCTATATGTAGGACCAAGGAAAGAAGTTCTGTTCTTACTTTCTTATCTTATCATGGTCTTACAGACATGTGACATGATGCTTCAGGGAGTTAAGAAGCAGCGTAGATAATTTTTGGTCAATTTTTGACCTAAAAAGCTCAGAATAATTTTGCAGACAACAGCAATAATGCTTTGGGTATCTGTGCCTGTAAGTAAACAGAAGTCTGAATTTGGCTTTCCAGCTTCCATTACACTTTTCTAAAGGCCAAAGAAGGTAACTGTAAATTCTAGACTGTTTCTGACTGGGGAATGTATAGTTTCATCATTACAGCACACTAAGAACATGAGATTTCTTTCTCTGGTAGCCATATGTTTTCCCACTGATAAAAGACCACAACTATTAGCTAAACATTGCAACTAACTATTTGAACTACTCAGTGTAATAGTGTGTCTCTGTCCTTTGTGACTAGGAATCAGAAAAGCTGGAAACTATCAATGCGGAATTAAAAGCCCAGATCGAAGAGCTAAAGAATGAGAAGCAGCATTTGATATACATGTTAAATCTTCACAGGCCTACTTGTATAGTTCGTGCACAAAACGGAAGGACACCTGAAGATGAAAGAAATCTTTTTATTCAACAGATCAAAGAAGGCACATTACAAGGTTAAGTGATATGGCAAACATGGAAATATTTATAGTGGTTTTAACAACTACCAGAATCCATGGAGGATCTGACATAATGTGTAGGATTCTATTAGTCAAGAGCCTTTAGGAAGGGCAGGTTGCTTTCTTAAGTGGAAAGAATCATTTTGGCTTGACAGCGATTCTTCCCCTTGGAAGATCTGGTCTCAATCAAATTGAAGAGCCTTCTGCCTCAAATATAGGTTTTGCACCTGTCATACTTGCTGTTCCTAGGAGCTACAGACAACAGCTTCAGAAGTTTTAGCTCTCTGCTAGCATACAGTATCTGCACTCACGACGTTTGTGCTAGAACACTATGACTTCCAGTGATGCACATGGTACAGACAGCTGTGCTGGATGGACTCTACTTTTCCTTGTTGCTGATAGGGAAAGAAGACTGATTATTTCTTGAAGTTTCCAGGAGGATGGTTTCTGGCAGAATGTACTGATGGGTAATGTTGCATTTTAAACTAACACACACACACAAAAAACCCCTTTAGTTCCAACTAAGCTTTGTCAATTTTTTCACAGCACTTGTGTGGGTTTTCTTGTATGACTCATCTCAGTGACTGAATTTGAAGAGCCTTGTAGGTGTGACAAAGAAATGTTTCTTGCAAAACATCCATGTGGCCTAGCTCGTATTTTATGAGTTATCACTTCACCTACTATCCTTTGGGGACTACAATTTTTCTTTGATTGCTAAAGAGCAGCTTGTACCATCATTTAGTGACTTGGTGAATTAGACCCACTGGAAAGAGGAAACTAACTATCAAGGAGTATTAGTAGAGGTTTTGCTGAAGTAAAGAACTCTAGGACTGAATGCCAGCTTGTGAACCTTGAAAAGGTTTTTTTTAAAAAAATTCATCAAGGATCTAATCCTACAAGCCTTAATTCATGCTATTAACCCTCTTTCACAAAAGAGGTTCCATGGATTTCAGAGCTTATGCAGATAGCTCTTACAGGCATAAGAGCTTGACAAAGCTTTTTCCATCCTGGTCAGGATTACTTCCTTTTACCAGGTGATTCAGAGGGAAAAATTATGATTACAGCTACTTTTATTTTACTTTTGAGTGGAAACTACAGTCAATCAAATATATTATTTAGAATCTAAAGGAGTTTTGATGTAGTGAACAATTGTTTTTATTTTTTATGAAATACTAACTTTGGATGTTTTTGAACTGGTAGAAGAGCTGCTGGACAAAACAGTTGGAGTTATGAGTGTTTAAATTCTGATGTTTCTGTGAAATTCTCAGATTGTTTATTTCTATAAAATATACCCTTACAACTTTTTGTAAAAGAAAATATTATCCTAATTTATCACTAATATCATAATGAGTAGAGTTAATAAATACTGCGAGCAAGAGAAAACTGAAAACACAAGTGTTGCGCTGTCTTTTTACCTTTGGTGTTTAATATTATATATTCCTAAACTTCATCAGCTGTGTTTGAGACACCGCTACTTAGAACACTTATCCTTCATCTTTTTTGAAGATGAGGCACTGAATATCTTGAACGATTGGGTGCAGATGTTATACCTTCCAAAATTCTGTGTCTCCATCAGTGGTGTCTAACCATTCGATGTCACAATTTAAACAAAGCAGAATACAAATGGAGCTTACTGTACATAATATTTTACACCAGTTACGCAGTATTGAAATTGAGTGTTTGTTCTAAAGTCTAAACTTAAAGATACCTCAGCCATAGGCTTCTCACCCTGCAAATTCCTTATGAGTCTATCACGTATTGTACCTGATCCTTATATGATCATTATATTCTGCAACAGAACTTCTTAGTACTTCTTCCTAAGGTCTGGATATATTGTAATGTCCTATATCACATTTTAAAGGTATGTACTTCATGCATCTGAAAAGTGAATGTATTACAAAGATGACACACTAGGTCCAACTCTGTCCTAAGAATCCATTATCTTTCTGTGTATTGGAAGGAGGTTCCATTGACTTCAGTGAGAGTTTTATTCACATCTTGTAGGCAGAGTTTGGAAACTGTGTGGCAACCTCTCTGGCTTAAAGGGTGAGTTCTACGTGTAATTGGGCCACCTGTTTATCAGAAAACAGGTATACATGAAGTGTGTTACAATAAACTTGTCAAACAATGTTCATTGTTATTTGGCTTCTGTAATGTGGAAACACAAAACCAGGGCACCATCCCAGTATCATACACCTTGGCTTTGTCTTTTGCTCATCAAATACCAGCAGACAAAGCTGTCTCATAGTCAGTTATGAAGTGTTACCACAGAGACTAGAAAATAGTGACAGAATTCACGGATCTCCCTTAGGGAACTTGTGTGGTTGCTTTCAACCATATCACTGGTGACGCAGGCGTCATGCTTTTGTTGCTTGATCTTATTTACTCGGCATGCCAAATGTTAATATGGTACCACTACTATTGTCAGAAGATAATCTATTTTTTATTTCTTTGTATGTGCAGTCGTAGCTGCTTTGTATTGCTTTTGTACGTGTGTGTGTGCGTGCGTGCGTGCGTGCTCCTGCACACCACTCTGGAAATGATGGTACCCAAGGCCACTTGACTGTGCCCAGGGAAAGAGTGTTTAAAGACCTAAACAGAAATGGTATGTTGCATGAGTTTTCTTAAGAGTGTACTTTATTCAGGAGAACCCTTAAAACACATTAAAAGCAGTTTGTTTTCTATTCTCAAGTTTGTTTTGATACTTTAATAAAAAAGAATTAATATATATTTATTTGTGTGTCATTTAATTCATTCTAAGTTTCAAGGTCCAGGAGCAACTTCATTTTCTTAAACAACACCAAGATATTAAAAAAACAAACCTATTTTATGTGGTTGCAACAATAAGTGTTTTGTAAAGTGAAACTGGTTCTGTTTGCTGTTTTTCAAGGTATAAACAAAATTTTGTTATTACAAGGCTGATCATGAATTCCAGGCTAATTCCTTATTTGTGGCCTAGGGCTTGGATTCAAGGATTGGAAATTAGAACTCCTAAACCTTTCCTAAGCTTGCAACCAACCAGCTGATAGTTATTTCAACTTTCTGATTACTTAATGAGTTTAATGCTTTTGCTGCTTTGAAGCTTTAATATTTATAGATTGCTTTCTCTGGTTACATGGAAGATACTAAAGTAGTATGGCATGATTAGGGCTTTGTTGTTTTTCTCTGTGTTGGTGTGTGTGGGGAGAAACATGAGGAAAGATGAACAAAATGTTCTCTCCTGCTTTTCCAAAACTGAGTATCTACACACCCAGACAGAAGTCCCTGTGTTTTGACAGCCGGTGATGTGGACAAAAACTTTTGGCTTCAGTCTATTGCAAGCAGTCATAACTTGTAATACAGAGGCCAGGAGCTCCAGGGACCAGGAAATCCACTGCACTATTGCAAAATCAAGTTAAAAATATCATCTGGAAGGAAGATCTAGGCTACCATGAGCTTGGCAATGTTCAGTGCTTACTTTCCTTATTGGTACATCCATTTCCAGATGTGCAGTCCTCATATGTGTGTTCCATGCATTCACCTATACCTGCTATCAAATTTTGCTTTTAAATACCCAGTTCACTCCTAAATTAGTAAATTTAAAAATCATCTACCTGGTCTGTTTTAGAAAACCTCATCAACACAATTAGGGCTACGAATTCCTGAACTGATATTTTATAAAATTTTCCTTGAATGGTATGAGTTGAAAACCATGAAATCACCACTGATCCCTATGACATATTCCTAATAACGTAATTGGTATTCCTTGAGCAAAGTAATACGTCATGTCTTCTCCTTAGGTGTTGTTTTAGATGCTAAATCTGTGTGTGTACAGGCCCATGAGGACCTTAGAGTATACTGGACTTTATTCTGTACCTTGATAAGGATCATCTTCTACTCTTTTTCTAGCTCTTCCCCTGAGGTAAATGAATAAATAGCAGTATCGAAGATTGGTAGAGACAATTATTTATATTAGGCTGGAAATGTTTAATGAAACTGAATGGCAACAAATTTAGTTTACAATAACTTTTCTACCTGGGACCATTAGAATTTGAAGTTATTGATTAAAGGGATAGTTTTAAAAATCACTGATTCCTAGTTTTGCAAAAGAAACTGGATGTGTTATGGGTAATGAAAAGAGTACAGCTGTTTGCTAGTAGCAATGGAATTTTCAAAACAAAATCTAATTAATCTTAAAAAACTCTCAAATCCAGAATGATGACTGTATCTCACATCCATTTTTCCCAGTGGTTTTGGTTTCCCCGCCTCCTCCCCCTCAGCAGAGTACTGGTGCAGGCACAAGTCTCATTCACCCTGGCCATTGCCAAATTTCCATGTCTGCCCAGTGCCCCCAGCTGGAGACCCTGAGAATCACCCCGGGATTAAAATGTGCCATAATATTAATTTACTTAATTACTTAGTAACATTCTTCATCAGTTTGTAATGACACTAATATGGTATTTTCATTTCTATGATAGATGCCATTCCTTTTTAAGTGTAGCTAAGATACTGAGTGAGAATATTTTTTAAAAATCCTGTTATTTAAAATTAATTTCCTTAATGGACACTCTGAGTCAGAACTGTTGACTGTAGGGATAAAAATAGTTATTTGCTAATTTTCAGTGCTATTAGATCTTCAAAACCATCATAGTTTAAAAGAGAATACACTGGAATCTATTCTTGAGACAGCAGTAGCTCTGGCTGCATATCTTTACTACTGCTAACAGTGATGCATGAAACAAACAAAAAACCCCCAACCTAACGATTTTCAGACCCCAAACTAAGTGTACAAGAGCTGACACTCAGAAAAAATACTAGACCTGTGAAATGAATAATCAAAAAATGTAAATAATCTGAGAGTTGAAGATGGAATAATTTTAACATCATTGTATTTCTGGACTCTGTCAAAATACTTTGTATACCACCATGCCCACTAAGTAGGAATGCCCACACAGCAAATAGCAGTGTGGAATAGCAGTATTTTTATATAAGCTAGCTTAGTAGTGGGAACATCCCAGCGATGACAGCAAGAATCTCGGCACAGGCTAATTGATGCTGCTGAGAGGACGAACGCTCCGTGCAGCCAGAGGACAGGCTGCTACTGGCATCTGAGGGAGCTCCTTTAAAGCCAACTTGGGTATCGTTCAGTTCCTCAGGTTAGGACATGTCACGTAGCTGCCTGCATTCCCAGCTAAACAGCCCCACCAGTTCACACCAAAGGTCCACCCAGCCCAGTTTTCTTTCTACACCACTGATCAAAAGCAGCTGTCCAAGGAAGAATAAGAACGGGGCAAGTACGCTTCCCTGGGTGCTTTCCCACACTCCAACTATTTTCAGCTAGTGAGTCACATAAGCTTGCCATGAATCTTTTAGGTAGTACCCTTCCATAAATCTTTCTGTCAAGTACTTGACCAGTTTCTCATCCACAGTACCAGCATCTGCAGTAACTTTTGATGGCAAGTTCGTTAGGGCTGTCACCACTTATAAGAAGAAAACCATTCCTTTTTTTTTCTTTTACCCTATTCCCTCTTACTCCATTTGACAGATCCTCCTTCTTGAATTGCAAGAGAGAACACTTACCCAACCTCTGCATGCCACATGATTCTATACTTTGCTGTGTTGTTTCTTTTTCAGGAGAAAGAGCTCCAACCTATCCAGTCTCTTTTTTCTTTTTTTTTTTTTTGGTAGCCATTTTACATCCTGAATTATTCCTGTTATGTTATCCACTTTTTCTGTGAAAATTGCGGCTTACGCAGTAGTTTAAGATAAAGTGACTGTAAGTAGACACATATAGTATTCAAGGTGAGTTATATATTAATACAGCAGGATCTTCATGTTCACCATCCCTTTCCTAATAACTCCAGAAATTTATTTTCCTCTTTGGTGACTGCCAATCATGACATCTGACAGAATGACACTATCTACCATAATCCCAAAATCTCCTTCCTGAGTAGCAATGGTAAACTCAAGCCCAACATTTTATATATAATGCCAGGATTGATATGCACTACCTTGCACTGAATTTTATCTGCCATTTTAATTTCCAAACTGTAAATATAAACTCTTCCTGCCAATCTTCTGAAACTGCCTGTCTCCTGCTTATCCTGAGTAATTTTATACCATCATCAATATTCTGCTACACTACTCACCTTCTTACCAGATCCTTTATGGAGATGTTGAGCTGTGCAGGTCTCAGTAAATATTTCCATGGAACAAGACTGGATGACCTACATCTGCTGGGAGAGTTCATCACTTACTCCTACTTCTTTTCTACCTTCTAATCTAGTCTTCATGCATGTATAGGCATTTTCTCTATTCATAGCTATTCAGTTTCTTCAAAAAAATTTTTGTAGAAGGATTTTACTGAAATCCCTTTGAGGTATCATAAAATACATCTACTGAATCTCCCTGACCCATGTGTCTGTGAACCCTTTCCAAGAATGCCAGATGTGTCCATAAACCTGAATTTAATTTTACAAAATCCATTCTGACTCCCTTTAAGTATACTGTATTTATCTAGTACCTACTCATTCATAGTCCCTTTATTCTAATTACCATTTATTCACCTGTTCAGATTACAGGCCTATAGTTCCTTGGATTCTCCTGAAACATTTCATAAAGGTTGATGACGCATTTGCCATACTCCAGCCCTCAGATACCAAGAGAGATTCAGTCAGAGTGACAGTTTTTTTGTTTGAGCCTTTTGGTGAAAACTCAATTTGTTAATGCTGATTCTTCTCTAAATAGTCACTTCAGTTTCAGACAGAACCTCTGCTTGTTTAGCTCCCTTTGCCCTGTCCTGAAGGGGGTTTTGGCTGGGGAATGACATCTATTTCTTCAGCTTTTCAGTTCTCTGAGTGTTCCCTTTGTACCCTGATCATCAGCTGTTACTAGACTTTCTAACAGATTAATTATTACTAATACCATCTGAAGTATTATTTAGCATTTATTTTAGTTCCTCTGGCCACCATTCCCTCTTCTTGCCTCTGACACACTTCTACCTTCAGTGCCATCTCCTGAGTGTTCCCTACAATAAGGTCTTCATCATCCTCAATCATATTTGGAACTTTTAGAGTCTCTTGATTACTCCAAGATTTTCTGTGGCATTAAGGAGTCATTACATGGGTACACATCTGATTACCAGATTTTAATTCCTGCAGTGCTGTGTGACTTACACACAGAAACTACCTCATGCCTCAATTCCTCCACCTAAAAAAGAGAGATAACAATCAGTACCATTCTTTCTGCCATACTTTCATCCCTTACTTTTGTACAGTGAGTCTTTTGAGTAAGTCTTCTGAAGATTCTCAAACTGCTGAGTCACTAGAAAGCTACTGAAGAGAAGGGTAGATTTTATTGCTATGTGATTATCACTTATAGCTGAGTAAAATAATCCAGAACACCTGTAATTAATTGATACTCAGCTCAAACCCAGGAATACATTCAGTATTAGGGGTCTTTTTGGTTAGTTTTGGAGTGTTGTGTTTTTTTTTTTTTTTCAATGATTTGTTTGTTTTTTGTTTGTTTGTTTGAGTTTGGGGCGGTTTTGTTTTGTTTGTCTTTGTTTTACACCTTTTGTCTTTGACAGCAATAGGGAGATCATGAGTGTAAACAATCTATGAATCAAATACGCATTAAAATATAAAAAAATCCTCTGAATAAAACAAATACAACTTCAGTTACCTGGGTTATAGTAGGGTTACAGGCTATTTTCAAACCTAAGTGAAAATA